TACTTGTGAAATCCTGGCATATGAAATATGGAAAGAATGGGCACTTAAAGCCAAATACCTTGATACTTCAATCCTGTGTTACTATACTAAAGTGTATTGCTATGTTAAATTACACTAGGTTTCAGTGCAACTTGAAGGCTCTAAAAAATTCAAGCTTTTTGAGGATCTTCATGAAAGATGTCAGTGCAATCCACTGATTCTGAACTGTTCTGTTTGTGTTCTTTGTTGTGTTAGTCTTGCCTCCTGTTTCCCTAGGTATTAACACTCATCTTTTCCTTCCACAGAGAGATGCTTAGAAGACCATGAACTCATAGTCCAAGTCGAGTCCACAATGGGAAGTGAAAGTAAATTTTTGTTCAGGAAGAATTATGCAAAATACGAATTTTTTAAAAGTCCTATGGTGAGTCTCATTGTTAAACTATTAAAACATCAAGGATACTAAATTGTTTGAGACATTGTCTGTCACAGAGCTTATCTTTTTCTACAGTGCCTAATAATGGTAATGAGCACAGTGAAGTCTCAAATGCAAAAACAACTTTCTTAAAAACAAGCAAGAATCTTAACTTGTCTTGAGTCTCAAAATAAGAGATGTGCGGTGGTTGTCAAATTGCCAAATATAATTTGTTTTTCAAGTAGCTGTTGCTATGCTGAAGAAAGGGAAAGGCCAGCTTGGTTTCTCTAAGCCAATGGCAACTCGACATATTCATTATCTTGAAAGCTGTTATTTGAATTGGAGCAAGTTGATCAAATAATGTGCAGTATTCAGATCCCTTAATCTTTGCCAGTAATGAAGAAACCTATGGGTAACCTCTAAAGCATTTGCCTCATGCAATTATTTCCTGTTTATAAATATGTATATTGCCCATTGGCTCATAGTAGGTGAGCTTACCATGACAGTTCTTCTAGTGGTTCTTAGTTCTCCTGGACATTTCAAAATACTTTTCCCTCTCACTCACCTTTCACAGATAAATGTGCAACACCTGATAATGTTGCCTTGTTCAACTGCAAGTAATACTAATAAACCAAGAACCTAAGAGCTGTTGTTATTTTTTAATGGTGTTTTATAATGTATTTGGGGTCATACTGTCAAACATGTGCACACAATCTGTGGGGACAGTCCAGTGATGCATACATATAAGCAGGGTTTGAATTACACTTTGACTCCTGCGGGGATCTGCAAAAAAAATTGAACCAGTTCATTGATTAATAAGTCTACATAAATGAAGGAGCAGTCCAATTGGAGGACCGCCCCCTCTGCCCCCCCATCTTACAGGGGAGCTCTCATCTCTTATGTGGGGGCTCAGCTCTCCTAAGCTTCCCCTTAATTCACGCCCTGTATATAAGCACCTGGATACCTGTTTGACAGCTATTGGTACATATTTGGAACTCTGCCCCTTGAAAGGGAATCATGTTTCATCTCCCTATATGAATTTGTAGCCTTTGCCTCTAATCAGAAAACCCTAATTTATAAACTATGCCCCATCCTTGTATTCTGTTCGGTTACTTCTACTGCCAAGTTTTGTATAGCATGCTTGTTAATCTTAACATTAATTGTTAATCTAAGAGAGGTTAGAAAGAAAATGCAGAACAGTTGACTTTTAGTTTTGACTATCAAACACTACTGTTTCCTTCAGCTTTTAAGGCTACTGGTCCATTCAGTCAGATATCAGAATCTGGCACTGACTAATATTTATGGGAAACTGGTCATTTTAATTTTCATAATTCACCTGGCTAAATATATGATGAGGTGAGAAGGCAGTTCCTCCTAAATCCTCAATCTGCTAGTGCTTTGAGGAATGTGTTTCTATTATCTAAAGCATTTGTGAAAAGTGTTCCTAATTGCTACAGGTTGCAACTCAGCTTGTTGATCACCTTTTATTTTAGATCTCAATTTCTCCAATCATCTAACAAAGATTAACAGCCTATATAAAGTTGAAAATGAGACATAAAAAGAAAGAGGCAGTCTGAAGTGAAGTTATGTATTTAGTTGTCATAGTTTCCTGATTTATCATAATTCAGCGTGAATAAGATGATGCATTGAGCTGGCATTGTAGAGTATTATGAAGATTTAAAGCTTTGTAGAAATTCCCTGCAAGTGTCCCCCATTCTGCTTGGACCTAAAATTACTGTGCTACGCTAATGGGTAGTAAGAATGGGTGTCTACTTAAATTGTTTGTAAGTTGCAAGTGCTGCACATAAAGTTGCTCTGATCATACACAGAATGTTGCTCCATGAAACTTTGTGTTCCAGTTTGAAGAATGTGTAGCTAACTAATCACTACAGGGAATGCACAAGCTCTTTTACATTGCTGTGATACATAATCATCTTCAAGGAAAAAAAATTGAAGATTGATAGTTGGAAGGTGTCAAGACTTAGGTGTGAATAAAGTGCTGAACAAATGGCTAGCTGAAACACTGACAGTTATGCTCCAGGTCTAGGCAATTAAGAATAAAAGTTCTGATGGATCTTAAAGTTGTTCAGGCCTGATTTGGTATTAAACTTCAATTTGCTTAGAGAGAGAAGACTGCTCTAAGTATTTAAATGCCTCTTGCTTATCCTGGTAACTCAGGAACTTTGATTCTATAATGTATTTTTCCTCATTATACCCCTGTAAGGCAAGGAAGTATCCCCACCTTGACAGCAGAAGGTAAGGAAAGGTAGCATCTTGGAGAGAAACTGGTTCAGAGAGGCGTGAGCTTTCATTGGCAACAACCTACTTTGTCAGATGTTAGCATGTAACAAAGTAGATTGTTGCTTATGAAAGCTCTGGACCATTTAGTGTCTGAAGTGCCACTCTGCCTTATCTTCTGCGTGACTTAAAATCATAGAATCATAAAAAATTAGGGTTGGAAAGGACCTCAGGAGGTCATACTGGGGGTTTGACAGGAGGTCCAACCCCTAGGTCATCTAGTCAACTGGACTTGAGACAACCACTTCTCTGCATCTTACAGATGGGGATCTGGGGGTACATGGGCTCTAAGTAACTAACCTGAAACCACATGAGAAGTCTGATGACATAGGAAGTTGAGTCCAGGCTTCCCAGGTGTATTAGCCCAGTGGGTGCCAGCCTTTTAGGCAGGCATGCTGCAGATTAGCCCCACACCCTGCCTGAATGTCATGCTGATCCTCTTCCACCACCTGATACACTGCTGTGCTTTCATCTCCCTGCACTATGCTCCTTACTTGATCTGCTGCTGTGTATTATGCTTCCTGCCCTATCCTCCCTGTCCCATATGCTTTTCTGCCTTCTGTGCAGCCTATCTGCTGCTATGCTGCCTTTTCTCTTCCTGGTCTGCCATGTGCCACACGCAGTCTGCCTGTGCCACTTATGGCATGCATGCCACAGGTTGGCCATTCCTCTCCACTTCAGGAAAGCAGGGACTAGAGTTTCTTGCTCCTTGCTGCAAGTGCCATAAAAGCTGATTTATATTTTAGTTTTCTGGAGGAGGGGGAAAACAGTGTTATGTAGAAAGGTGTTGATAGAAATGACTTAGTCTCAAATTTCAGCAGTGTACCTTGTGAAATATCCCAGACTTCATTTTACAAAGCCATTTTCTATGTTTGTGAAGTTTGCGTTTGTATGGTTTTATTTTTTGGCAGGTGGCAAAGGAGGAAGGGGTAAATAAGGCCTGAAAGCCTCAGTGTCACTTGCACTGTTTTTAAAATATATTAATTCAGAAGTGGTGACTAAAGAATGTGCATAAATGTAATCTGACTCCAAACTCTGTCTCTCTCTCCCTCTCTCTTTCTCTCTTTTTTCCATCCCAGAATTTCTTTCCAGAGCAGATGGTGGCTTGGTGTCAGCAATCAAATGGCAGTATCCCACAATCCCAGCTCCTGCAGGTATTGAAGGCATGCTTATGCTAAATCAACCTTTTTCTGTAGAAGAGGAAGGTGCAGAAATGTGGAAATATGTTATCGGGAAAAGGCTGTGTGCAAATTTTCAGTTTAGTGTGCAAAGTCTCGTGAAGATTTTAGCTAGTGTTAAATTATAAACATTGAACTTCCACTTCTACATCCCCACTTGGATGTTACCTGATATTATCATGGGTTACTGCATTTGTGAGTGTTTGCTCTGGTTAGGCTGTTAACATGATGAATGTGTGAGATTAATATCATCTTTCTGTCCATGGAGACACAGGCATAAACAGACTTTCTTTTGCATTCTTCTCTTCTTACATTTTTGTTTCATTCTCCAATCGATCCCATCCTGTTCTCTTTCTTGATATCCCCTTATCAGTTAGGTTGACCCACCAGTGATAGAGGCACCTTTTTTCTTCTTGGTGTCTTGTCCAGAAAACAGCAGCTTGAAGAGAAAAAATGGGCCCCTATTGTTAAAAGCAATAAGAATAATCATATTACCCTATAAAGTTGTTCCTAACAGTGAATTTCTCATTTTTGAAGTATTCTTAGAAAACCAGATTTTCAGTAAAAGTAAATTGTGTACTTTTTCATAACCCTGGTATTTCCTAGCATAGCACCTGCAATAAGTGTTAAATCTTAAATGTTAAATGTTTCAGGTGTATTTTTCCCCACAAGATTTCCAGTGCTGCAAAGCATAAACATGCATTGGAAGAAAGTTTTGAGATAATGTTCAAAGTTAAGGAACAGGTCTCCAAAGAGTTTAGACCCTTTTTAGTAGAGTAAAAATTCCTTCAGGAAAAGAGACAGTGACAATAAATGAAGTACATGCAGTATTCATCAAACTTCAAAATAGTTAGGTAATCCCTGTTAAGTTTTGCCAAACTAAATTGTTTGTGTGTGTGCACACATGTATATGCATGTATAAAATACGTGTGTCAGTAAAGACTTCCATTGTACTTTCTTCCTGTCAGTTGCGCATGTGTCAGGTTTATACTGTGTTTTTCCACATTACAGTTTGTAGACTGTAGTTTGTAGCTATAATTGCTTCAAGGTTAACGCACATATTGCTAAGTGGTAAATCTATCTAATAAAATTCACATCCCATATATTACCAAGTCTGATTATCTCAAGGGATAGGACAGTTAGATATCTGAAATATTTATATACTATTATGAGAAGTATGAGGAACAAACAGAAAGAAGTGGAGGACCTAGTAAAACACAGAATTAAGATGTATTTAGGATTACATAGACATGTTGAGAGAGAGTACAATCATAGATGCATATAGCTTGTTCAGGAAGGATAGACAGGGGCAAAAAAGGAGGAATTTCCTTATATGTAAAGGTGATATACAAGTGTTCTGAGGCTCAGTATGAAGCAGAAGGTAGGCCTGTTGAAAGCCTCTGGGTAGAGATCCAAATGGAAAGCAATAGAGAGGATGTCATGGTGGACTTCTGCTACAGGCCTTCAAGCCAGGAGGTGGAGTGGGGTGAGAACTTCTCTCAGCACCTGCGAGAAGTTTCCAAATCACAGGACTTGGTTCTCATGGCAGACTTAATCATTGGGAAATCTGCTGGTAGGGAAGCATAACAGTGCACAAGCTGTAGATTGATCTACCTTGACTTTAGCAAGGATTTTGACACAATATTCTCATTAACAAACTATGGAACTACAGACTAGATGAAAATGCTGTGCGGTGGATACGTAACTGGTTAGATCATCGTATTCAGCAAATAGTTATCAGTGGCTCTGTCTTGAGTTGGGAGGAGGTATCAAGTAGGTGTCCTGGGTCCGGTATTATTTAATGTGTTCATTAATGATTTGGGCAATGGGACTGAGTGCAAGCTTAGCAAATTTGTGGATACCACCAAGTTGGGCAGAGTTGCAGATGCTCCAGACAGTAGAGCTAGGATCCAGAATGACCTGGATAGGCTGCAAAAATGGCCTGCAATCAACCAAATGAGATCTAGCAATCTCCTGCACTTGGGACAGAAATGATTGCATGCACAAATACAGACTGGGGAGTGACTGGATGGGCTGCAGTGTTGCCTGTCAGGACCTGGAAGTTACAATGGACCATAAGATGAATATGAACCAACAGCATGTTCTTATTCCAAAAAAAGCCAACAGTATATTTGGTTGTATTAGCAAGGGGATCACTTGCAAATCAAGGGAAATGATTCTTCTGCTCTATTCAGCATTGGTAAAACTTCACTTGGAATACTGTGCCCAGTTTTGGGCTCCATACGTCAAGGAGGAGGTGGACAGTTTGGAAAGAACCCAGTGCAGAACAACAAAAATGATCAGGGTCTTGGGAAGCAAGACTTATGAGGAAAGGCTGAAAGAAGAACTAAACACAGGAACTATTACATTGGAGTTGACAAACGGATAGATTGCTTCCATCACCATGGGCAAGATTTTTAAGTAAGTCAGGTGCCAAACTTCCACTGAAATCAAGAATGGGACTTGGGCATCTAAACTGTCTAGGAACCTTTGAAGATGCTGCTGGGCATTCCTTGTGGGCTACTTACTCTTAAAAATCTAATCCTTTGTCAAAGTTCTTAGAGTTAACAGGTCTTGGTCTTCCCTACTTGTTTTTTATTCACAGTCTGGAACAACTTTTTCAGCTCTGAATGAGCTAGACCCCTAGGGTTTTTAGTCTGGAGAAGAGACGATGGGGAGGGGGCAGGGCAGGATTTGAAAACAGTCTTCAAATACCTGAAGGTTATAGCAAGCATAAAGATGGGCTTTACTCTCAGGCCACAAGGAACAGGACAAGGAATGATGGCCCCAAGCTTCAGCAGGAGAAATTTAGGTTGAAAGAGGAACTTTCTGACCATGAGGGTGATTGAGCATTGAAACAGGCTTCTTAAATTGTGGAATCTGCATCCTTGGAAGTTTTCAAGAGCAGATAAGACAGATCTTTGACCAGGATGGTTTAGTCAGGAATGATCCTGCTTTGAGCAGAGGGCAGGACTAGATGACCTCATGAGGTCCCTTCTAGCCCTACTCTCCAATGATCCTGTTGGATCTCTGACTCTTAATTGTTTGGTGAATTGAACAGATCTAACACTGATCATCAAGTCATCTATCTGTGACCAAATTGTTCAAAGATGAGTGCATGGGAATAAATGTCTAATCTCCAGTGCTTAAGTCTTTTCTTCAAATGGGTATATTCCTACCTCACAAGGTTGTTATGGGCCAATAAAGTTTGTAAATTGTAATTCCTATGTGGATGTATGTTACAAACAGAAGATGTTGTTGCCTAGATGATACCTTAATTAACATATATTTTCTTCTGTCTTTATATTATTTAAAAACACATAGAGATACACAGCTGCTTTTTTCTCCTCTGATTTCTATCACTTTGCATACTTGTACTGACCCTCTGTTCGATATTACAAGTTGTTGCTGATTTGAACTCCTAGTTTCTTTTTGCTTCTAAAACCACTTCTAAAACCCATTAAATACCATGTACAAGTAAATTGGAAAATATTAAAAATCACAGCATTTCCACTGAACTAGGGAAAAACAATTTTAAAAGCTCATTTCTGATATTAAAAATGGATGTTGCATGGAAAATGAGTTAGGCCTCTTAAGTCAATTAAGATTTTTGCCCTGTTACCTCTTTAAGATCTGTTAAATATGGCATATTAAGAACAATTTCTAGTGTACCCTAGCCTACTTATTCAGGCTGGCTGATCCATAAGGATGTAGGCCAAACTAATGGAAATAACTTAGGAGCTGAAGCTTGGTAGTCTCCATTTCTGTTTGTTTTGCAGTGGCATACCATTTGGATGGAGGTCTCATCAAAGCATTGTAGAAAGATAGTCAAACTGTTGGGCTTTTACGTATGGGTGGGAAGTGGAGACCAAAGATCACTCCTTACTATAGAACACGGGTGTCAAAGATATGACCCACGAACCAACTGCCCATGGGGCTAGAAATTTGACAGTTGGATGAGAAGTGACAGTGTTCTGCTCCAAACTTTCCATCCCTATGCTGAGCCCTGCAGGCCAGATCTGGCCAGCCATGTCATCTGGCCCACAGGGGTGCCTTTGGGGCTGGAAATTTGACAGCCAGAGGACTAGTGTCCACCCCTGCAGACCAGATGGCACGGCTCTGCATTCAGTATCCAGCCTATGGACCAGCCCCATGCAACTCATCCACCTTGTGGGACCAGATGAATTTGACAAACTTGCTCTAAAAGGTCTGTAAAACAGAACTCCTGTGAGAGCAAGTTGCTATCACTGAACAATTCTGGAAAGGAGAGAGAGAGAAAAGCCAGTAGGAATGTAAAGTTTCCTAGAAGATTTTATCAAGCACATTTTGTAGAGGAGCCTCACCAGTATTTCAGCAGATTAGGTAGGATAAAATCTGGTTTTAAAAAAACACAAGTAGCTGATTTAAATAAGATCTGTTTCTTATTATTTATTTTTTTCTCTTTAAACAGAGACTTGTTACATGCCAAATGTAATTTCAATCTGTTCCACTCTAAACTTTCAGTATTCTAGGAATGTAGTCCCGAGAGGCTGAAGGAGCTAGACATGCTCAGCTTGCGGAAAAGGCGTTTATGAGGGGATACAAGAGCAGTCTTCTAATACTTGAAGGACTGCCATAAAGGAGAGGGAGAACACCTTTTCTCTCGTGTTGCAGAGAGTAGAACATGGATCAGTGGCTTAAAGTTGCAGCAAAATAGGTTTAGATTGAATATCTGGAAAAACTTCTTCACTGTTACAACAGTGATGCAGTGGAATAAACTCCCAGGGAAGTTGCGGACTCTTCATCATTATAGGTCTTCAAGAAGAGGGTCAGAGATGATATAGGTATAGCTATGTCTGTGTTCTGCTGTAGGTATTTCCTACACTTTAGGGCTTTGCTGGTTGTTGCATGGGGCTGAGCAGTAATTCCACCCCCTTCTGCTTCATATCAGGGTTTCCTTTTTTAAGTCTGTTGGCTGCAGCCAAGGCTGGGGTTTTGACTGTGATGTGTCACTCCTCCTCCTTGGACTTAAAGCCAGAGGTCCCTGGTTAGAGGGTCTGGCCCCTCTGCTCAGGGTCAGACTGATTGCCATATTTGGGGTCAGGAAAGAATTTTACCTCGTGGCCAGATTGGTACAGACTGGAGGGGTTTTGCCTTCCTCTGTAGTATGGGATGTGGGCCCTCTACCTGTGATCTCTCGAGTGTATATTAACAACCTTTTATAGAAGCAAGACATTGTCTGCCATGAGCCTCCTGCTTTACCTGTGTAGATTAGAGTGTTGTCTTGTATTATGTCAGGGTTTGTGGTAGTTTTACTAAGAGGATGGATTATGGATTGGCATAGGATAGTTTAGATAGGGATGATCGTGCCTCTAGCAGGGGGTTGGACTAGATGACCTATAGAGGTCCCTTCCAGCCCCACTTCTCTGTGATTCTATGAATGATTTCATCAGTTGTCATCGGTGGCAGGGAACCTTTTCCAGTTGCAGGCTAGGATGACCCCAATCCTTCATCAGAGTGGGGAATGCAGGTAGTAGGACCCTGCCACTGTTGGTGCTTGTCCCCACAGCAGCATGGGAAGAGTGCCCACTGCCAAAGCCCTATATCACAGGTTGGATCCAAAGACTCCACGGGCTGAATTCAGCTGCAAGCCATAAGCACTGACTCCATGGGTGCTCGAGGGATCAAGCACCCACTGAAAAAAGTTAGCAGGTGCTCCACGGCCGCTGCTTGCAGACATTAAAAAAAAAAGTGCTTTACTGGAAGAAGCAGCATGTTACTTCAGCCTGGCTCTGAAGCGTCTGTAAAGATTGAGCACTTCAGCAGGGCTTTTTGGCACTTTAAGGTAAAGCTGATTCGATCAGTTATTATGTTAGTTCCTCTGTTTGGTAAGTCATTTGGCTTTAGATTAGAGGTGCACCGATACATCGGTCCGATATCAGATCGGCACCGATATAAAAAACATTTTCTGTATCGGAAATCGGCTCGATGCGGCCTGTTAATTTGTCTGATAAATGCCCGTGCATGCGCGTAGCCGCAGGGCAGCATGTAGGCAGTGAGGAACACAGCCCAGCAGTGTGGAGTGCTGTAGGCAGCTGGTAAGCCTGGTGTGGTGGAAGGAGAAGAAGGGGCGTGGGGGCGCAGATCAAGGCCCCTGTGGTGAGGGAGGGTGTGGGGTTAGAGTTGAGGTTGGAGCAGGGTCTGCCCAGTGGGGTTGGGGCAGGCACAGAACAGGGGTGTGGCTCATTGGGAGGGTGTGGGAAGGCGGGGGCTCCCACCACTGCACGTGGCTCATTCGGGGCTCATCTGGCAGCTTCCGCTGCTGCTCCCTCCGCTTGTCTGGGAGGGCATGGGGGGTGGGAGGTAGGAGTGTGCCTTGGGACTGGGTGGGCTGGGGCCAGGCTCTTCCCAGCAGGGCAGATCCGGGGGCACGTTTCCGCCCCCTCCCCTCCATGCCCTCCTAGACGAGCAGGAGGAGCCAACAGACAAGCACCGGATGAGCCACGCGCAGTGGTGGGAGCTGCCCTCCTCCTCCCTTCTGATGGCCCCCCGACGAGCTGTGCCTCCATCCCAGCCCGCAGCTGCGGTCCTCCCCACGCTATGCGGATCCAGGGGGCATATGCCCTCCCCAGATGAGCCACTTGCAAATCTGTCCCGTGCGCCTCCCTGCCCTGGCTGGTCAGCGCCTGCCCCAGCCCCATTCCCTCCATCACCGCAGGAGTCATGATCTGCCCTCCCACATCCCTTCCCTCCCCTTCCTTTCCACCACATCAAGTGGAAGATCTGCATATCAAAAATTAGATCAGTATCGGCCAATATGCCTCCTTAAAAATCAGCTATTGGTATAGGCCCCAGAAATCTCGACCGGTACACCACTACTTTAAATGCAGTGCATGTTTTTTCTTATGTATACAGGATATATAACCTATCTGATAAGGATTCTGATATGCTGACTTTGCATAGTTTTGATTGAGTTCTAGTTTGGAGTCAGATGCAGCCTGCCAGAGATTCAAAGTACAACAAAAATGCCTAGTGAACAAAAAGGTCATTTTCTAACGATAAATATAAAAATTAAGAATCTGAGTAAGTGTATGCAAAGCTGTATAACCATTTAAGTACATTTATCTAGATAACATGGCTTCTTGGCTAATCAAAGTAGTAAAAAGGTTCCTTGTAATAAGGTTTTGTTTAGTTGCAATCAGCACACTAATATTTATACCAACCAAAGGAAACTAACTTTAGGAAACAAAGTAGAAACAAGATAAATTATCAGTTTTATTTTTGCTTTTAAATTCCATGCCTAATGGCACTGAAGACTGAGAAAGAGAAGAGAAACAAATGTTTCATTAATGTTTAGTATGCATATATACAGTACTTTGAAACTGTGCTGAAAGTGTATATTATATTCATTTAAAAAAAACTTAAAAGGAGTAAATTCAGAGGTAGTATGTGCAGAGTTCATGTTGGGCATGGTCAGATAAACACATTATCCTCTGAAGTGCTCAGTATATTGGCAACGTTGTTATTTGGCAAATAAATGCTAGTAGGGTAAAAATATATATATTCTTTTGCAATGTATGTATATATAATATAAAGGCTTTTCCAGAATACAGAAACTACTTTGAAAGCCAAAGGATCATCAGTGCAGATCTTAATGGAATGGCTCCATCTAACTATGTAGTGGCTTTGTCAAATCTATCCAGTGTTATGATACTGATTTTTTTTTTTTTAAATGAGACACCTAAAAGTCCTGAGCACCCTCCATCTCCCCCTTAAATCTCTGATTTATTCGCTATGACATTATAATAAAAAGGAGAATCTGTGCTTCTCTTAATTGTATCTTGCATTGAGGAAGAGGATGACAAAAAAAATGTCCGAGAAGGAGCCTTTCCATTTGTAGTGGCAGATTAAAGTATCTGAACACTTAATTGGGCTTAAATGCAAATCAGCCTTTTTCTTCTGGTTCCTTTACTAATATATTTAAATAGGTTGGGCATACCATACCAACATAACTCTTCAAAATACTCCTGGATGTTGAATTCTGGGAGTCTGGAGGTATAGAGATTTGCTTGAATTTCCTGTACTCAAGTTAATGAGGATTAAAGATTTTGCTGCTGGTGTGTATTTCCTGTTGTGATAGAACCTGCATAAGTATTGTGTGTGAATTGGGCATGGGCATGCCATAAATAGACTGTTTATTAAGTAAATTTTAGATCACAAAGTTCTGGCTTTCAGATTCTAGTCAGTGTTTCCAAGAAGTGTGCCACAAGAAGTGTGCCAGCAAGTTTTTATAGAGTTAATAAACTGCCTGTGAATATGTAATGGAAATGCTGACCTTAAATGTCTCTTGGGCTCTATGAGTGTGAGAAGAGCAGATGTGTGGAAGAATGGTTAGCACCAGAAATACATCTGGCACGTGGAAAATAAGTCAGTGAATGTGACTGAATGCTCTTTACGGCTGGCATAGCACTACTGTTAGTTGTATACATGGTACATAATCATAGAACTCAGATTTCTTGATTTTCGCTTCCAACAGAATTTTTTGAACTCCAGTAGCTGCCCTGAAATTCAAGGTTTCTTGCACGTCAAAGAGCTAGGTCGGAAATCATGGAAGAAATTGTATGTATGTTTGAGGAGGTCGGGACTTTATTGCTCTACGAAAGGAACTTCAAAGGTAAGGAGTGGGGGCTTCAGTTTTAGTACACGCTTGCCATGTAAAGCAGATGCCTAATGACTATAGATTTAAGATTAACGTTCTCCATTCACTTTTATGAAAAATACAAAAGAAGTTAAACTAATTCTGGCCAGGTAGCAAACAAGGGACATAGCAATCCAGAGCACTGTGACTCATCCAATCCATATGTATCTAGTATTATCTTTTATATGTAAACTTAAGTAGCCAATTTTTAAAATGTTTTATCCCTCATCACCACATGTATAGAGAAAACATTTGGTTCATCAACTTATGAGATTCTTTTAGGCGGTAGTTAATGTCTTAAGTATCGCTAACCTTGATTTTCCAAACTTATCAGAAACAATGCAGGTACGTTGTGGGCAACACTACTCTTGAGCATGATTTGATATGCCTGAATGTGAATCTTTTCATAAACCTGGCAAACATATTTATGAAGGTAGTTCCGTTTTTCAGGGCATATCCTGGAGCAGTGCTGGCCTTAAACTCCTAGTTAGTCTGAGGAGATCTGGTCAATTATATGTTAAAAAATACATTTTGAATGCTTGGAACAAAGCAAACTAAATTTGCATACTCTGTTCTCTAATGAATGTCACTCATTAGAGATTGTAGGGTTCAGATTGAAATGTTTTGGTGATTTAATCTTACAATATGTTTACAGGAGCCAAGACATTTGCAGTTGTTAGCCGACCTAGAAGACAGCAATATTTTCTCATTGATAGCAGGCAAGAAATTGTATAATGCTCCAGCAGACTATGGATTTTGCATAAAGGTAATTCTTCCTAATAATTTGATCTCAAGATGAAAATGAAGTCACTAACTCTCTTATTTTAACAGAGTAAACATTTACATGAACTCAAGCAGTCTGGGTGAGTTCAAAATTATTTATAATAGTGTTGAGAAGATGAAGTGGTTCAGCACAATCTGAACCAGAGGAATGAAGCTTTCACTGCCCTGGGCCCCAGCTTCTGAATTACTACCACAATGATCATGTCAGAATGATCCTAGGAAGCTAAGTTCACTTCCATGTCTAAGTCAATGTAATTTTAAAACAACCTGACAAAAACCACCATATTTTTTCCATATTGGATCCTCTGCTGTAGCTGGCTTGGGATCTTAACACTGTTATTCTGTGGGTCAGAAGCGGTGATGTGAAAATGATGCTAGAGAGCCCCTTGAGCTTTAGAGCAGCAGGCCTGGTACATGGGGTGGGTTACACATTGACTTTTGTTCCAGACATTCACAAGAAACCTCTTTTATTTTTATTTGTTTGTGTGTATGTTAATTTCTGTGAAAGGAAAACTCATCATGATGGTGAGTAGTGACATTGCATAACAGCAATGGCCAAATTCTGAACAGATTTATAATTGTATTAACATGACAAACAGCTTGTTTGCACATATTTTAAAATGGAAGTTAGTTTGAAAAATGGAAAACAATATATGCAGATGTTTGTTTTCTTAAACTGGGCCCAGTCTGTGCATAGCTTTTTGTGCTATGCCAGTTGTGCATACTCTTAGGGACACAGTTGCTATATCTGTAGTTTAATTAACATCTGTCATGGACACAATTACAGTAGTGTATAAAAATGTCTATGCTGGTATAACTAGTTAACTTTTATCTTCAAAGAGGAATAGGTTATACCCACGTGAGCCACTTTTTACCACTTTTCCACAGGAGCAGTTGTACTGCTGGAAAGTTAACCAAAGAGATATGGTCTTCCTATGTAGACTTGCCTCAGTGTGTATTGATCTTGCTGTTTGGGTAACATTTTCAGAAGCTCCTAAATCCAGTCATCTAAATCACTTCTATAGCACACTACTGTGTGCATTCACATGACAGGCTCTGAGAGCTGCTTTTATTGATGCCCTACAAGGGCTAAAGTGGACACTGAAGAACAGTTGACAGATATGAACTGTTCTCTTTGCTAGCAAGGATTCTGTAGCTGTTGCCAGGGATCCTTCAAAGGATGTCTTTGGGGGGTGGGGCGAGCTCAGCCTAGAAAGACATTTGTTCAGGCACTGAGAGGCAGAGCTCTATTCCCTCCAATAAGACAGAGAGGTAAATAAGACAATATGTATGCAGCCTGCCTTCCTCTACCTCCCCATGCCTTTACAGGGGCTGTCATTCTTAGGGTTTTTTGCCTGTGGAGGTATAGGCAAGATCTCTTTTGCAGGCAGTTCCAACACTAAAACTTCTGCCTTTGTGCCATCTCTAGAGGGGACAGCTGGAGCTGTTAGTGTGGATAATTACCAGGTAAAGGAAACCCTTAAAAAAAGATTGGGCTTTAATTATCCACAATCATCTACATTTCGAGTGTAGGTGGTGAGAGCAACACTTGTAAATTAATGAATCACAACATGGAGCAGCAAGAATGCAGAAAAGCCTCTAAACTGTAAGATAGTGGTTTTAGGGAAGATGTGTGGGGAAGGTCCAGGACTAAGTTCAAGAGCTCTGCATCCAGTTCTGCAGACTCCCTGGATGACTTTGGAGAAGCCATGTGATCTCCAGTTACCCACCTTTATAGTTAGGAATAAATAAAACAACCTTCTTCCTCAAGGGTGGGGAGGTTTAATGTACTGTTGTTCTGTGTTATATGTTGCTAGAGCATGGCAAAGCTGTCTTTTACAGTACTCCAAAATGCCTCAACACTGAGGCCATTCATAATTCTACAAAAATGTAGCACTGTAGAGCTGGCTGGAAAGCAGCAATGGCTGCATACATGTTCATTTCTACCAGGAGAAATTTCTTCCAGTAGAAAAATAGCTTTAGAGCAGCTTCCAAACTGTACAGCTTCCAAGCTATACAGACATTCCTCTAACCCCAGGGCAAGTTCTTCAGCCAGGGGGACCTAGAGGGCTGGTCCTTGTGCTACCCCTGCCCTTAAGGTTGCCCATTACTTGACAGTCTTCCACCTCATCTGGGAAGGGTGAAGAATGTCAAATGTCAATTGGCAACTGCTAACAAGCAGTAACTGCCAGGGACATCCAGGGGGATTCCCACCCTGGGAAAATGCTCCCTCCCCCTATTCCACCAATCACCTGTTTAAGGAGGGGAGGTGAGGGCATTGTCTCATGGTGGGAATTGTCCTAGTCACGGTCACCTCAGAGGTGTGTTGAGCAGCCAGGAGGTGCTAGCAAGCTGCTTTTTAACTTCCCACTGGGAGCCTATCAAGGAGCCTAATCACCATGAATGATGCGTGCCTCTGGAGGTTGGTGGGGCATGGCAGAGGAGTCAGGTGGCGGAGTCAGTGGTGAGGGCATGGCGGTGGCGAGCGGGGACTGCCCACAGGCAGCCACAGTGATGTCAGCAGCGAGGGTGGGCTGAGTAGGGACCACCCACAGACAGCCACAGTGGTGTTGGAGGCGAGCGTGGGGGTGGCACGCGGCGAGCAGGGACTACCCACAGCCACTGTTTGCAGTGTTGGTAATGGCGAGCGGGGACCACCTGCAGCCACCACCGGCAGCATCGACAGCAGGGTGGTTGACTGCCCACATGAGCCACTGGTAGCTTCAGTGGCTGGAAAATGGGGGGGGGGGCCATGCCCCCCCACGTTGCCTATACTAATCACTGACAGCCTGCCCTCTTAGGCAGGGCTGTCAGTGATCAGCAGCTCTTACCACTATTCTTGCAGTAGAGGTGGCAAGGGTCACAGTTGCCATATCCGCCCTGGGAGCACTCAGAAGAGCCCTTGTTCCTGCTGTGGCTCCTAACAGTTTGCTGCAGCTGGGTGAGGGAGGGAAAGTGGAGGAGCATTGTGGGATGCTGGGGTTGAATCTGTTGTTTTGATAGACATCCAGTGTTTTTATATTGCCTGTGCTTCACTTTACTAAGAAGTCTATTTCAAATGCTTTTGTTCTGATACTAAAAATACTTGATATTTTGTAGCCCAACAGAGTGAGAAATGAACCTAAGGAGCTGAGATTGCTGTGTGCAGAAGATGAGCAGAGCAGGACATGTTGGATGACAGCATTTAGACTCCTCAAGGTACCCACTTTCTCATGATCTGTGGTTGGCCTTGCCCTCCAATTTCACATGAGGTTTTAGCTCTGCCTTACCACAATTGGGTAGCACTTTGATGAAGCATTCTTTGCCACCTCATACATGCTACTAAAACTGTGTTAACTACCCAAGTGTAGCACTGGAAGCAGACTAATTAATTCTGCTGGTATACAATTCAGTTAACCTTCCTGCCCATAAACTTGCCCTTAGGTGGTCACGCTGCTTTCACTTTGGAAGCTAATACACACAAAGCAGGGCAGTATGCTTCAGGGCAGTATTGCCGTCCATAGCAAGCAAGCAGCACAGATGTAACTTTGATAATCTAGTGTTTTCTACAGCATTGTACACAGAATACAAGTAGATATTTTCAGTTACTGTTGGTTACTTTATTCATGAAGAATTCCTAAGCTCCTTTAAAACTTGTGTACCTTGAGTTCAACTGCATACTATACTAGGAACTTCCATTTCAGAGGTAAACTATCAGGCAGACTATTACACTCAGGCTTATAATCACAGACTGCATTGTTCTCATTGCACATATGAACAAAGTATAAGCCCAGTAAGGCAACCCATGGAGTATACGTTTAACTCAAAAAGCAACACAGTTGTTTGTTTTGAACATAATGTGTCAGCAAAATCTGCTTAAAAAATATTCATTTATTCAACTATAGTCTGCTATAGTTTTTGTTTTTGAATTTCCTTAGGCAGATATGTGTGTTTAAACCTATGGCATTTTCTTGTAGTGTTGTTGTTGATCTTTATTTAAAAAATAAATAAAAATCCAGTAACTAGCTGGGTCGTGATAGTACGTAGCAAAAAGCTGGGGGAGAAATTTTAAACTGGTAGAAGCAAGTGTACAATATTGTAGTATACTTTGGAGGAAACTTGTGCTGGGGGCTTCTCAAGTGGAAGTTCTGGTGGATGCAGGTGTATTTTTGTGTCTAGTGTCAGAGAATTCTCTGTGCTGGTCTAGCAGGGAAGCAAAAACTGCTTTCTTGTCTATCTTATTTGAAGTTTTCTAAACCTCCTTAGAGCCTCCACTGCCTGAAAAGGAGTCTTGGCTGTATTATCCATGGAATACCTCCCTTTTCTGTTTGTGCCATTGCTCTCCCCCTGTATGCTAAGACCACATGTTGACTATTTCCCACAACAGAGGATGGACATGTGAGACATCAAGTCCATCCAGATGGCATGTTTGTAATATCTTTCTATTAGGTTTAAATTTTCCAAAGCCAGAAAATGGCTTTCTGGACACCCAGTGTCGTTAACTTGGGAACTCACCACCTGAAATTTTGGCCTTTTTCAGTACCCTCTGAGAATGCATTCCTGGGTTTCTAGTTACTGTGTTTAGTGGCTCCTATTTGCACATATTCACCAAGATGGGGGAACTCTGTTCTGAGACAATGTCCTATAGACCTAAGATTTCATAGATTTCATAGACATCAGGGCTGTAAGGGACCTCGGAAGATCATCGAGTCCAGCCCCCCGCCCAAAGGGCAGGAAGTCAGCTGGGGTCATAGGATCCCAGCAAGATAAGCATCCAGTTTCATCTTGAAGGTGTTCAATGAAGGCGCTTGAACCACCTCCGGTGGCAGGCTGTTCCAGACCTTGGGGGCTCGGACAGTAAAGAAGTTCTTCCTTCTGTCCAGCCTGAAACGATCTTGAAGTAGTTTGTGACCATTCGACCTCGTCATCCCTTGGGGCGCTCTGGTGAACAAACGTTCCCCCAGATGCTGGTGGTCACCCCTGATAAACTTGTAGGTGGCCATCAGATCACCCCTGAGCCTGCGCTTTTTCAGGCTAAATAGCCCCAGGGCTCTCAGCCTGTCATCGTAGGGTCAGCTTCCCTGACATCTGATCATGCGTGTGGCTCTTCTCTGGACTCTCTCAAGCTTCTCCACATCCTTTCTGAATTGTGGAGCCCAAAACTGGACACAGTACTCCAGCTGTGGCCTCACTAAGGCCGAGTACAGGGGGAGAATGACGTCCCGGGATTTGCTTGAGAAGCATCTATGGATGAAAGC